TGAATTTGTCAATTTCCTTCAAAAGATATTCTTTAAAATCCTTTCAAGTTATGATCTTTGCTTTGTCTTTGATCTTTGTGGATCTTCTGTTATTTTGTACTTGCTTTTTTCTTGGAAGAGGAAGAATACAGTTTTAAATTTGTGAAGGAGTGCATGTAGAAAAAAAAAGGATGTGAGTGTATCCCTTGAACTTCACTGTTTCACACCAGAATGCAGCATTTTGGCTTCGGAACCGAAGCGTTCTCAGCTACTTCATTATTATTTGTGTTCTTTACCTTTTCAAAGCTAAGAAACTCAACCTAAGCTACCAACCCACCCCCCCAAAAAAAAAAAAAACTTGAAACTCATTTCTTTCAGTCAAAGTACATCTTTCTTTTTGTCCCTTATCCTCAGTTCTGATTTTAATTCTCACTTGATAAAAATAATATGTTGGATACATAGTGTTTTTTCTAAGGAAACTTACTAAGAGAATCTGGTCACACAAAAGAAAGAAATTCAAGGAATAGTGAAAATGGTACTTAATGATAATTAAAGGAAAATCAATTGGAAGTAGGAGAGAATTTGTATATGAAGAGTTCGCTCATATTCTTTTTGTGGAAAAGGGAAAACGGTTGCCCTCTGATAAAATTACGAAAAAGAGGTCAGTTACCATTGTCAATTAAAATTACAAAAAAGAGGAGGAAGGAAAGAAATGGTTAAGTTGTACTTCATCAAAAAAAAAGAAATGGTTAAGTTGTACTACTGCATCTTATTGATGCCTTTTAATGAATTTCTCTTACTTCATCAAAAAAAGGAAAGAAATGGTTACGTGTGAATGAGAGCGAACATACAGGTAAGTGAAATGGCTATTGGGAGTTTGGGACTCACCATGCCACACAACTAACTAGAAGAAAGCTTCTCTCAAGTATTGTTGGTTGTGTCCCACATCAAAATAAAATTTCTCGTCTTCAAGAGGGTAGCACCAGACATTATATCTTGTTGGCAAATGATATCTCAATTATTAATAAAACGTTAGAAATTATTTTTTTCTGATTACGCATAAACAACTAGAAATTTAGTTTAAAAAACTAGTCACTATAGAAATGAAAATACATCTTTGCATTTTAATCAGAAACTGAAGTTGGTTTTTACTTCACATAATTTACTTCAACTGTGGTATCTTTTTAATTATCTCTCTCATTAATTAGTGTGTTTATAGTTTTTTTTTTTTTTTTTTTGCATTATACGTTTTTTTCCATCATTAGTGCCTTTGTTTGCTGAAGTTAACGCTTTACTTGTAGTTTGCACTGTTAGCACTGACGGGTACTCTTCTATGCTTTTCGCATCTCTAATAGTCTCTAGGTTGATTTTGTCCCCTAGGCTGCTTCTTCTAACATCATCGGCTCTCCAAAAATGATTATTATTACCAGCATGTCTTGCCTATTTGTTGCCCAAAAAAACAGATGTCTTGCATCAATTGTTTTGAAAGCCTGCCTTATTTTTCTGTTGCTCTTTGATTTGTTTGTAACACTCTCTTTATCTTCAATATGCTGTGTACCAGTAGAAGGAGCATGAATGGCCCATGGCTGCTGTTCGTGTCAGAAAGCGGTTATGGGAAGCGAGTTCCAGTTAGCAGATTCCGCACATCACCTTTGAATAGAGTCGGTTTAATTGGTTACAAGGTACACCATAATGCTATAAGCGAAAGTATAATCAAAGATATTCCTCTCTTTGTAGGAAAAGGAGGGAGGTTAATTTTTATTATCTCTGTTCAGCTTAGTCAACTAATACGTCTGATGCATTTATTCAGTTTTCATCTGAAGATCGCCTGGCAGCAGTATTCGTAGTTGGATTCTCCTTTGGAGGTACCGTAATCCTTTGTATTCTTCTGCATAGTTTGAATGTTTTGAATACTAGCAGACTTCAAATATTGTGGTAATAATAAATAATTGAAACGCTTTAAGCAGAAGATGGTGAGAGTGACGAGCAAGTTGTTCTTGTGAGCCAGAGTGGAACGGTGAATCGCATAAAAGTTCAGGACATCTCTATCCAGTCCCGGTATGCGAGGTATGTCAGTGTCTTGTAGCATTTGTCTTCTTTGATCTGTAGTGCTATAGTTTGTTTTTCAAGTATACAATTTCTGCAGTAGTACATTCTTGGGATGCTGATTACCTTTTTATTAGAGTGCCTACAGGCTAAAGATCTATTTGTTGTTGTTGCCAGGAGTCTTATTGTCCTTGGTTCTTTCATAGGGATGTAGTTTGACTATATTTTAATACCATCTCGAGTTCTGTGAAAGCTCAAAATCATTTTAGGCTAGAAGCTTGGGTCAGTTGGCTTGCTCGAAAACTAATATTTAAATGATTTAACATCAGCCAACAAAAGACCCAGAAAAGTTGATGAGTGAAAAAGAAAAAGGAGTTTGTGCATAGGAGAGTGATAATGGTGGAAACTAAGGGGTCATTTGGTAGAGTGTATAAAAATAATGCTAAATAGAATGTATTAGTAAAGCTTGCATAAGTAATGCTTGTATTAGTTATACATAAAATATTTTTTATGCATTGTTTGATTTGATGTATTAAGAAAAGTATGTATTGTATAAAAATATTTATTTATAAAAGCTTCCTCCACAATTATGATGGAAAAGGTGTAAAAGTGCTTTTGAAGGGTAATTGGGTCGTTAACAATGCTAATGCATGTATTGAATCCTTTGCATTACTAATACCTAGAAATCCAAAGTGTAACTTTTTTTTGAGATTGGTAACTGAAAACCATATTTACATAATGAACTCTAAAGGCACTGTCCTATCCCTATAACGAGTCTAAAACATCAATGATAGAGACTGTCATTTAGAGTAGATTATTACACCAAAAACACAAAGTTAGAATACAATTCAGTTTTACTTGCTGCTTATTACTCTCCCTTTTCCCAAAAACTCCTAAGGTTTCTCTCTTTCCAGATAGTCCACCAAATAGTAGCAGGAATGATTCTCTAGTTGCTTCTGTTCTTTGCTTGTAATCCTGGTACTTCCCTACTGTATAAGATCCCCTGCCATTCTACCAGGCATGACCCATGAGATGTTTTGAGCCTTAGAATAGACTCCACAATTGGCCAGTGACCTTGCACTGGATGAAAAGTGATAGACTGTTTCTGCAGTTTACCCACAAAAAAACATCTAGAGCACAGTGTAATCCCCCTCTTCATCAAATTCTCCTGTGTCAACACAGCTTCCTTAGCCAGCAACCATTTAATCTTGGTGTTTGGTTTGAATTCATACCATAGTGATCGGATGGATTTCCATAAACTAACACCATAGAGAGTGGTAACTTCCTTTGTCATCCAATGTCACTTTCTTCATATTTTGCTTTTATGACTGAGCCCCATAAATTCTGATTATCGTTGGAATAAATATCATTATTTCTTAAGAAATTTAAGTCCATCTCTTGTACATATTCTGTACCTCCACTGTACGTTTTAACAAAATAACTCGCCACGAGAAAAAAAGAGTCAGACTGATTGTCATGGTATCCAAATAACTGGAGATATATCATATTACATCATCTAAACTTCATGAGTCACAAGCAACTAGACATTAACTCTGTGGTACTGGATTTCTGTTTTTCCCTTATATCTACTGAAGAGAAACAAGATGCAGCCTAGAGGGGCTACGGAAGCACTCTATATTGTTCTCTATTTCACAAATGGAAATCACCTAGATTTCCTTAAATAGCTTAGTTGCACATAATTTCATTTGTGATTGAGTTATGCTGAATAACTTCATAAGAAAATGACTGTATTACGGAGAAACAACAGTACACTGAAGTGCTTTTGGCTTCTGATCAATATCTCAGGTGTTTTTTTTTTGCTTAATAGCTCAGATATTACTTGGTCTCTAATATATTCTCTCTTGCCATTCTCCAGAGGAGTAATTTTGATGCGTCTTGAGCATGCTGGGAAAATTCAGTCAGCCTCATTGATCTCAGCAGCAGATGCCGATTCAGATTCAGATCCTGAAGTTGAAGATGCAGCAGCAGTAGAAGCATAGTGTCCCTACATTTGACCTATATAACGTGCAGGTTATTTGCAGCGTGAGTAGCTGTAGGATGATGGGTTTTGTACAGCTGATGATGTAATCTTGTAGATACACTTCTGTACTTCTCTAAATATCCCTCTTTGATGGTTGCTGGGGAGATGTATCATTTTTTACCCGATAGGGAGGATCTAATCCGTGTCAATTGTTCTCGTCTCTAGTTCTTCTGCCCGCCTACCCCCATTCAAAGATATAAGGTAGGTAGTTTAGATCATTGCGAAATGGTTACTACAATTAGGGATCGTTTGGTAGAGTGTATAAGAATAATGCTTGCATTAATTATACATAGATTATATGCATTGCATTAAAAAAAATTATTTACAAAGATACTCTCCACTATTATGGTGGAAAAAATGTAAAAAGGTTTTGAGGGGTAATTGAGTCTTTAATCATATTAATGCATGCATTAAAACCATTGCATTGCTAATACCTAGATATCCATGGTATTAGCAATGCACACCTTAATACACAATAGAGTGTGCATTAGTTATACATAGGTTGAAAAAGAGTACCAAACAAGGTAGTAATACACTACCAAACGACCCCTTTATTGTAAGAGTGAAGTTTTGTTGATATACAGAAGATAATTTTATGTCTAGTGTTGTATGTTCTTAGTTCAACAGATGAACTTTGAGATTGTCCCTTAAAAATATAGTAAGGCCCTTTGAGAATTTTTGGGATACGCCAGACAATGATTTTCCATGTTCTGTTGGCGGTTCTGGATAGTTTTTCCCCATAATATGATCGTTAAAAAATCTATATATTTCTTGTCATTTTAGATATTGAATATTTTTAGTAGGATATTTGTGACGATTATCGACATGTTTGGATGTAAATACTCCCCTTCTTTATTTTGGAAAGGAACGAGCAGTTGCCAGCAAAAAAAACAACACATTGTCATCCTCAAATTAACAGATATCTCCATGCACCATTGAACCTTTTGTCATCCTTGACAATCGCAAATGTTATTAGAAGATATCGTACACCAAATCCACGAGTAGATACTGTATCATACACTAGACTCTAGAGAGGAAACTTAGGGAAGCAATTAAACAAATCTAGTTGGTTACAGTGAACTCTTTGTGCATTCAATTACCAAATGTACAAGTAACAAATTTTTGTGCCTTGCATGGAAAACTGTAACATGAGAGAATGTTCCTGTGCTTACAAAACCATAATTCAGAATAAATCAACTCTTCATTTCTTTGTTAAGGAACTAGAATCAGGTACCACCATAGATTGTGTTACCTTGTAATGCCTGCATGATGTAGACTTCTCTGTCCTTATCAAGCTGAATTATGTAATTTCAACTCGATTCCTGTGCTCCAAGTACCCAAACATGCAAAACCTAGGCAAGCCTAACCTTCTGATATCCCCTTCTGGCTCTCTTCAAGTCGGGGTGGGAGAGGCACTTATCTTTTCACCTATTCATCCCATCTCCGCTCTCCCGTTCAAGCTTCATAAATAAATTTCTACGAGGCACCTAAAGCAACAAATTAGCCCTGAAAGAGCGTGCTGATGCATGAAGCTATTTATCACGCTTCTTCTATTTCACCTGGGAAATTATCAAAATTTTAAAAAGGAAAAAGTGAGAAGTTGAAACATCATTTTATATTGCTGTACTCATTACTGATTAGAAAACCAAATGCTGAAGTTACAAGTAGAAAACCTGGCAGCAGAGATAACTTTGATCCATGTCTGATAGATTCCATAATCTTTCACTCTGCAATAGATCAATCTAGGATTATCACAACTTACTCAACTATTCACAGATTAGTAGAGCACAACAACAACAACAAACCCAGTGAAATACCACAAAGTTGGGTTTAGGGAGGGTCGAGTGTACGCAGTCCTTACCAGTACCTCTCAGAGGTAGAGAAGCGGTTCCTGAAAGACCCTCGGCTCAAGCAAATCACAGCAGTAATAAAACGAAAAAAGATGGTGGGGAGAAACATGACAACTAATAGCAAAGTAGTGCGGCGCATATATGCAAGGAACCGTAACAACAACAAAGTGTGATCACCTAAACAAAGTAAACCGCAGATGATATCACATACCAAAAGCCAAAGACTACATTAATACTGCAACTGACACGGTGCGCTATACTACCACCAAATCAAATCAATAAGCTAGTAATAGGACAACTCTTAACTACCTACTAACATTCTACCCTTACCCCCGACCTCCATACCCCCTATCTAAGTTCATGTTCTCAATAAGCTGAAGATGCGACATATCATGCCTAATCACCTCCCCCAAATATTTTTTCAGCCTACCTCTGCCTCTCCTTGACCCCACTATATCCAACCTTTCACACCTCCTCATTGGGGCATCCACACATCTCCTTTTCACATGTCCAAACCACCAATCTCTCTTCCCTCAACTTGTCTACAACAGAGGCCACTCCCACTTCGACCCGGATATCTCTACCATGTAACCCAATTTTAGAACACACTTTAGACAACCAATAGCTTCTCTTCATGCCACATTAGTTACTATAACAATCAGACCTTATTGGACATTGTTGAATCATTTGACAGTCTCATCAAAAGCTTAATCTGTTAGAGGGAATCTCATAGTGGTCGCCAAAGTCTTTTGATGCCCAGAAAATGAACAAAAAGCTTAAGCAAAATCTTGATCAGTGAGCAGTCCCATTCATATATAAAGCAAATAAGGGTAGCTCTAAACAAAGTCCTAACCACATCGCCAACATTATATGTGTCGGCTGGAAGAATTTGCATCTGCAAGTCACTTACAAGAATATATCATCAGCATCAACTTCTTGCAACAAATTGACGAAAAAGCGGAATCCATCTGGACTAACATCTCTGCATAGAAGTCCTGCAAAATATGATCACAACTTAAGCACCACTTTCTATGTGTTAAAAATATTAGAATCTGCAGAATATACCTTTGCCTTCAGCTGCGAGAAGGTGCTCTTTAGCCATTGCTGGAGCAATTCCCAGAGTCATTGCAGCATCACTAGCAGTGACTCCTGATCGTAAAGCATCAGGTGTAGTAACCATAGATCTAATTCTAGTAAATACCTGCAGTTGATAGCAGAATTGTGGGTATTAAGGATATACAAAGTATATTATACACCAGATCTATTTAACAGGAATGGAGAAGGGCAGATTTCAAACTTCAATTGACTATTGAAAAGTCTTTTTTTTGCTTCAAATTTAGCTGCTCTCATGGTTATGTTAAGGAAAGGTACTCTTGGAATTCGTTGAGGAGTCTTTTAAGGTATGAACAAGCCGTCATCACCTAGGATCTCAGTATGCCATAAGTGAGGCGAATTTTTTGAAGGTTGACTATGATACCACAAAGAAAGAAGAGAAAAAGTTCTGGGATAAGTTCCCAAAACGGCCAGAATAGTGGCCTGATGAAACAGTGCTGTAAGAATGATCACTGAGGAAAGGTTGGTGCCGCAGAACAGTCAGGGAAGGAGGCATCATCAAGCGGAGCAGATACTTAAAAATTAAAGTGTTGCTGCTGGAATGGTCACCAAAAAGGACAAGAGTTGTTAACTTATGAACAGAAGGAAAGATTTTGGCCTGGAAGACAGCCATTTAGAGGCTGCCTATCGGTTGGAAAAAGCAACTTATATCTCTATTTAGATTGTTGTCTTTGATACCATGTGAAAGAACCAAAAATCTTAGTATCAAACCTATAACCTTAGAGCAATGCATAGAGTGGCCCAAAACCTATAAATACCTCACAAAATCCCATTATACCCCTTTGTTTAGTATTATATAACTCAACACTCTCAACACCGACTCAGTCTAATACAGTACATTAGACTTGTTTACCTATTCAATTATGGTCTTCTTCAGCAATAACTTTTATAGGAATTCTACTTTGCCTATGATTAACTATTGAATGAGTTGTATCTCGACTACCACCAGACATCTGCTACTTGAGAGAATAATTGATGACAGATATAACCACAAGAACTTGGTTTGACCCCAATATAAAGGAGGAGGACAATATCAAGGCGAAGAATTACTTAGAAGACTACAGACCCTTACAATAAGTTCAAGAAACGCAATATAGGATGCAATCAGAGAGATTAGGGAAGACCCGAAAAAGCAAGAATTGTATTGGCAGAAGGAGATGCTCAAACAGTGAAGCCAATATAAATATTTTACCTCAACATCACTGTGGCTTTTGCTCTGGATGACCATGACACCACTATCAAACGTCCGAAGCATAACTGGTCTGTAAAAGTGAAGTGTTATTTCCTTTTTCTGTTTAGGCATGGAAGTAGTTGAAATGAACCCCAAGTTACATATACTCTATAGTTGAGAACTAGTTCAAGGATGAACAAAGATGCAAATATGTATATGTGTATGTGTAGAGGAAAAAGGGACGCATACACGTCAAACTTCTCCCAGAGAGAACACGCACGCAGCAAATCGTCAGGTGAGATCAATTCTGTAAAATCACAATAAAAAAGTTATAACAGCCTGTAATGACACTGCCAAAATAATGAAGAAATTATTGAGAAACTAAAGTGACAGACTTTGAGTTGACGATTTAATAGTCAATACAACAACATACCCAGTGTAATCCCACAATCCCACATGTGGGGTCTGGGGAGGGTAGGTGTACATAGACCTTACCCCTACCTCCTAGAGGTAGTGAGGATTTAATAGTCAATAAGAAAAGAAAAACTAAAAAAATTACAAGATGACCTGTTCCACGAGCCCGGTTGAAAAGGCAATAGATGTCAATGAAATTAATCATTCCTCCAGCTCTCTCCAGTGGAATTTTCGCAAAATCTGCCAACTAAGTACACAAACAAATTGTTATTTTTGCATATTACTGAATTACCTCTTTTGGTAGTGTGAAATTAGATCTTAGGCCTAACTCACACCCCAAAAGCTAGCTCAAAGGAAGGAGAATTGCCCAAGCCTTATAAAGAGTCAACACATCTCATTAATCACCAATGTGGGACTTTTGTCATTCTTTAACACCCACCTCATGCCCAGTGCTTAGCATCTGGTGCGTGGGCAATTTTTTATTTTGGGGCAATTTTGATTTTTTTTATGGGGGGCCCCAACATTGGATGAGATGGGCCCTGCTCTGATACCGTGTGAAATTAGGTTTTAGGCCTAACTCACACCCCAAAAGTTAGCTCAAAGGGAGAAGGATTGCCCAAGCCTTATAAGGAGTCCACCCATCTCATTAACCACCAATGTTTAACAGGTAGATTCGGTATGTCGGTTTTTATCTGTAGTCATGTGGGTGGTTAGGAGGGAGAGAAATTTAAGGGGTTCTGAGGCGAGCAAAAACTCTTTTCGCCAGATACTTAGGATTCATATTTTCTGTATACCTTTTTGGGTCCTCACACATTACCCCCATATGTACAGATGACTGGCTTGACTTTGCATGTAAGATCTTGGACCTAAGAGTTCACGTATTAAACCTTTTTGTGACTTATCAGAAAGGAACAACAAAAGACTACTTTTAGGGCGAGGAATGGTAGAAGTTGTAATGTCTCGCTCGTGCCAAATTACATTCTATATCAACACATTAGAAAGTATAAACTTTTTATATACTCTTGATTGGCTCTTTATATTATTAAGAGTCAAAATAAGTTTTCTTTGGTGGCTACTTGCTTAACATTCTCATGGTCAACTTTGAAATTTGCAGCAACTCCGTCGAGTAAGTTATAGTCTTACATGGCCTGAATTACGATTAAGATTGATATCTGTAATCTGTGAGGCTGATAGGGAAGATCTGTTGCACCTAAAAGTCTTTTTGTTGTTCTTTTGTTTGTTTTTTAAAACTATTGCTTGGCTCTCCTCAGATAAAATCACTGGTTTACAGATCCAGCAAAATGAAAGATACCAAAGGTGTTGGGTGATATCATGAAGACCTTTCAGCATTTCTATGACCAAGGGAGGTTTGAAAGAAGCTTTAATGCTACCTTCATAGCCCTGATTCCAAAGAACAAGGGTGCTAAAGAACTAAGGGACTTTAGACCTATCAGTTTGATAGGAAGCACACCTATAAAATTCTCTCAAAAGTGCTCACTGAAAGGCTAAAACGAGTGATGTCCAAACTTGTTAATTCACAACAGCTAGCTTTTATCAAGGGGAGGCAGATCATGGATGCTGTTCTAATAGCTAATGAAGCTATAGATTCCAGGTCAAGTTTGAAAAACCAGGCATCTTATGCAAATTAGATATTGAGAAAGCATATGACCATGTCAACTGGGATTTTCTATGGGTATGCTAGAGAAGATGGGTTTTGGTCTCAAATGGAGACAATGGATTAAATTCTGCATATCTTCAGTAAGCTTCTCAGAGTTGAAAAATGGTTGTCCATCAGGGTTTGTTAGTTCACAAAGGGGCTTAAGGCAAGGTGATCCCTTATCACCTTTCCTTTACTTATTAGTCATGGAGGGACTCAACAATATGATTATGAATGCAAACAGAGAAGGATGGCTAAGAGGTTTTGAAGTAGCTAGAGCCGGAAGGGAAAGCCTAAGGATAACTCATCTACAATCTGCAGATGATACCCTGATATTATGTGATGCTGAAGAGAACCACCTCAAAATTTTGAGACTAATTCTAGTCTTGTTTGAAGGAATGTCTGGACTTCAAGTTAACTGGAGAAAAAGCTTCTTGTGTCCAGTTAATGAAGTGCCAAATATGGGAAATTTGAAGTTAATTCTTGGTGGTGAAGTGGGTGCTCTTCCAACTACTTATTTGGGTATGCCTTTAGGGGCCAAATCCAAGTCTTTGGAAATTTGGAATGGGTGATTGAGAAGTGTGAGATGAAACTAGCAAGGTGGAAGTCTCAGTACCTCTCACTTGGAGGAAGACTGACTTTGATCAACTCTGTGCTTGATGCACTTCCAACATATATGATGTCTTTATTTCCTATTCCTCCAGGTGTCATTAATAGGTTGGATAGCATCAGGAGAAAGTTTTTGTGTCAAGGAAACAAGGAAAGGAAGGGGTACCGCTTAGTCAAATGGAAAAAAGTGATCAATGATAAGAGAGTTGGGGGTTTAGGGATCAAGAACCTTAAGAATCAAAGCAATGCATTGAGAATGAAGTGGCTTTGGAGGTATTCCAACGATGATCAGAATATTTATGGGGTTCAGTCATAAAAGCAAAATATGAAGAAAGTGACAATTGGATGACAAAGGAAGTTACCACTCCCTATGGTGTTAGTTTATGGAAATCCATCCGATCACTATGGGATGAATTCAAACCAAACACCAAGATTAAAGTGGTAGATGGTGCTAAAACTAGATACTGGAAGGAGGATTGGCATGAAGTAGGAAATCTGGAGACACTTTTCCCGGACATACATACTCTGGTGCTTCAGCAACAAAGTACAATAGCTGAACTATGGACACCTCATGGGTGGAATATTATATTAGAAGGCACCTCAATTATTGGGAAATTCCAAGAGTTACAGAATTCTTCAGCGTCATTGAACAATTTAGTGGCTTGGAGACAGGGAAGGACAGATTACAGTGGTTGGGGAACAGTACTGGGACTTTTAAAGTAAGTACAGCATATAGGAAGTTGAACCACCCAATTATGCAGGCATCCAAATGGCCCTGGAAACACATTTGGAAGGCCAAGATCCCACACAAAGTGGCTTGTTTGTGTGGTTACTGGCTAAGGAAGTTGTGTTGACACAGGAGAATTTGATGAAGAGGGGGATTACACTGTGTTCAAGATGTTTTTTTTTGTGGGGAAACTGCAGAAACAATCAATCATTTGTTCATCCAGTGCAAGGTCACTGGCCAATTGTGGAGTCTATTCCTAAGGCTCAAAAACGTCTCATGGGTCATGCCTGGTAGAATTGCATAGGCCTTATACAGGTTGGGAAGTAAGCAGGGATTACAAGCAAAGACAGAAGCAACTGGAGAATCATTCCTGCTACTATTTGGTGGACCGTCTGGAAAGAGAGAAATCTTAGAGTTTTTGAGAATAAGGAGAGTAATATGCAGAAAGTAAAATTGAATTGTATTCTAACTTTGTGTTTTTGGTGTAATAAGATCTACTCTAATGACACTGTCTCTATCATTGATGTTTTAGACTCATTATAGGGATAGGACAGTGCTTTTAGAGTTCATTATGTAAATATGGTTTTCAGTACATGGGTTGTACTGATTTAAAGAAATAGAAACAGTTACCAATCTCAAAAAAAGATACCAAAGGTGTTTAACAGCAAATGGGAATTAATAAGCCATGGGCAGCCGGGACTTTTCAATTAAATCATCTAGTAGCAACATGTTGTTATCGAAGTCAAAAGGCAAAGACAACATTTCATATGTAATTGCGAACATTTCCATCTAACTTTAGCTGCGATTATAATCAAGACTAGCTCATAAAAATGGATACAATCACTAACACAGCTACCAGGATAAAATACCTGCCGAGATAACTGTTGATGATACAACGCACCAGCAGATTCTTTAGTAACAGGAGACACAATACCAACACTTAATAGCAATTCTTGCATCTCTTCTTTGGTTCCAATTTCCTCATCATTTGTGCCAGTGGCCTGACTAGTTGAGCCAGAGAGAAGCTTTGATCTCATTCTCTCTGCTAGAATCACCATTTCTTTAGCTTTATTCTGTATATGAGAATTATATCAACTGATAGTAGAGACAGATGCAGATAGCACACTTAAGTTATCAACCAAACAGACCGATTTGCATACATAAGAGTTGCGAGAACTCCTAGAATTTTCACTTAGCCAAAACAAAATAAATATAGTATTAAAATCGATAAGCCGACTGTTAAGTAAGAATTATAGTATTCAGTTATACATGTAACCCTAATATCTGAGTGTTACTATAAGAACTTAGTGCGTTCAATCATTAGACTGGCAAGTTCTCTCAAACTTTCTTCCTCTTTGATTTTGTCATCAACGTCAATTACTTAACATGAAGTACACTCTGACATGAATTCAAGAACATCCACAGTATCCTAATCTTTCTTTGCTTATGGATAAATTCCACTGTATATGTTCCCACTTCCAAAGAAATCTTAGTCGCTACATTGCTATAATTGAACTCTTGCACACTTCATTTCAGAAACTCAATTGCATATGTTCCGATATGCAAACACAAGAAGTTCCTTCAGGCTTTACCTATCAACCCAAAAAAAAAAAAGATCTTTTGTGTCAAGAAAAGAACATTTTTTAATAACCGCAGTGTCCGGGTCAGTTTTTGTGCACCTCAACTAATTCCGGGGATACCAACAAGGCAACAACAACAAGTAACTTTGTCCATCAATACCATGCTATGACAGATGAGAAGAAATTACCTAGTGTTTTTTCTGAATGTTGGGATTTAAACCTGAGACCTCATGGTTCTCAAACCAAGTCATTGACCACTAGACCACACGCTTGGGTGCCAAGACAAGCACATTCTAAAGCTAATATGAACGCTTATTGCACCTATTCTTTACATATCCACCAAATTTATTAGTCTACACATAAAATAACCAAAGAGATAAAAGACTTAAACTTTACCATACCATGAGAGCGTTCAAATCCTGAAAAGCTTCCTGCAAGCTCTTATCAGTATTCTCCCACATTTCCTGCTCTTTCCTCAATATCCCAGCTACCCCAACAACCGGCATCCTCACCGCCAATCCTCCATCACCACCCGACCCATGACCCGACCCTGACCCCAACACAGAACCCGAAGCCTCCGACCCAGATTTCATCCCATCTTCCCAAGCCTTCTTTCTCCATGCTTCCCAAAACTTCTCCACGAAAGAGTCAATATCCGATTTCCCCCTGAGAATCAAAGTAATCACCACGACCCCTTTCGTGCCCTTTTCACCAAGTGACGCCTGAAATCGGAATCTTGGGCTAGCGAACATTGACTTGATGGTTTTTTTGAGGGAGAAGATGTGGGTGATGGCTGAAAGAGGGATGAAAATGGCAGTAGGGGAGGTGGTGGATTCTTGGACCCAGATAAGACGGTGAGTTGTGAGAATAACGAGGCCGGCTTTTAGGTTTGGGAAACTGGGGGTTTCTTCAGAAAAGAGGTCTACGGAGGAGAGAAGGCTGCACTCTACTTCACCTGGTTGAAGAACCGGCCGCCCACTCCCGGTGAGCTGTGCCGCCGGTAGCCAATTTCCGGCCATACTGGCAAATTTTTGGGAAGTAATACTCCGAAGACAAACTGAATAAACTATAAATTGACTTCACAGATCAAATTTACTACTAATAAAAAATATTTTTAGATAAATGTTTTTTTGTTTTGTTCTAATAAGTTGAAATTTGCAGTTTCTTTACAATAATCATAACTTAAAATTATAATGGCAATTATTGTGTTAAAAATGGATGATGATGCCATTCAATAACTAAATTAAGTGGAACAAGTTAGTAGTTTCATTGGTAGGCTACCTCAAATTTTTAAGTTAATGAATGGAAAATAATTTTATTATATCACCTTTTGAATATAATAAATATAATATTTTGAAAAATGTAATAAATAAATTACTATAATTAATGATAAGGGCAAATTAGAAACTAAATGTAAAATTATTCATTGATTTTATAAAGTGAACAAATATTATATTAAATATTTCAAAATCGTATAATAGACAACTATTATTGGACAGGAGTAGGAATTTGCTTCGTGCCTGATAATTCCCTAAATTCAATTTACTAAATACTATCTTCGAGTTAAGGGAAGAAAAATAAACAACTCTTATTTAATATTCTCTCTATTTTATATTAATTGAATTTGTGAATCAATGCATACTTATTAAGAAAAATATTTAAGGACATAATTTAAATGATACTTTCCACTGTTGTCCTTCGTGAAATGATGGATATAACTTTGTAAGTAAGGTAATATATCTTACAGAAAATATCAAACTTCATAAAGGAAAGGACAAATTTGGAAAAAAATTCAAACATCCATATTGAACTTTGAACAATTCAACTATTTTAAACAACGAACAAAATTAAAAAATTCAATTAATATGAATTAGAGGGAGTATGAAAAATCATTTGACTTTTTTATTTATTTTATTATTTGATATTTTTATTTTTTTTGTATCTTATATAGACTTTATAATAATTGAGGATTATTGATTACAACATTTGCTTTAATTTTGAAAAACTTTATTTTTCAAATCCACAATTCTCAGTTTTCTCTTTATCTACTTCGTGATAATCCATTTTAATTAACATGTATATTTTTCTCTTAAAAATCTTTTTTTTTTCCATTTGAATGATACACCTACCATATGTATATAAATATTATTAATTGATTTTTCAAATTAGTAAGGAGATTTATTTTCCGAACACTTATTTTAGCATAAGATAAATCATATCATATCATATATATATATATATAAAGCTAGATTTAAAAAAAGTGATGTGGCACCTCTCAATAGCCAATGATCTTATCTATCCTTTTTCTGGTTTTTTTGCCTTCTTTCTTTTATTTTTTCTCAATTATTTCATTTTATAAAATCATCTTCTAAATTCATACCTCTTCAATTACATAAATATAAATCTTAATTAATTTAGTAATATCTATAACTCCTAACCTTTCATATTCATAACCTTCATATTATTTAATATACAAATTTATAACTCCTTAAAATGACACTTATAAAAACTTAGCTTGAGACGTGTATGATGATTATTTTATTTTGATTTTTCTTATTCTTCATCTTGTGTTTCTTTGTTTGGTCATTTTTTTGTCTTCTTTGATCTGATTTTGCAGGAGAGATATGTATAATGAAGAATGTTTTACATAGTTGAATTTTATGCGGTAAAATGTTTGGACATACATAATATAATTATCATTTTTTTCTACTTTAATGATATATTTAGTTTTTTTATTCTTGATTATACGAATCATGAGGTTTTTTGGAAAAAAAATAATTTGTTTTTTTTTCTCTTTGTAGTTTCTAGAGAATATTAATGTTAGACATCCTTGCATAGTTTGGTTTTGACAGTCTAATACTTATAATTGTCACTTTTTTCTATTTAATTATATATTTAATATTATTTTTTTAGATTCTAGATGATACAAATCATGAATTTTTTTTAGAAAATGATGTGATTTTTTTCTCTTTGTGGTTTGTTAAGATTCTTTTTTTTAAAAAAAACTTATTTTTGTAGTTTCTAAAGAATCTGATTATTTTTACTCTCTTCTTCTCTTTGTAGGTTTTGGAGAATTGAATTATTTTATGTTTGGAACATGGTCCTTCTTTCCTCTTCAACTCATAATTGAATATTCTTTAAAGTTTTTACTTGATTAGTTAACTTTATTTTTATGTATTTTTTATTGTTGTTGTTGTAAGGTTAACTTATCGTGTTTTCAAGTCAAGATATTTTTGAAAATAAAAATAGAAAAGGGAGTTAACATATACATGTATGCTACTCAAGAATGTGTGTAGATAATTTTGTAGTTATGTGGATCAATTTTTATTAATTATAATGATAGAACATGAGAATGTAAAGTTGATTTGTAATTTTCAAGATACAATTTAATTCATAGAAAAAATGATTATTGATATGTAACTTTGCAATCTTCATATTTTAATTTTTGTTATTATTATTGTTAGAAGTTTTCAAGTTTTGAGATTTTTAGATATCACTATTATGATTTGTTGAGTCCGAACTCAAAATGTAAAAGTATTTGTTTAGGATAAAAATAATTTAGTAAAACTTTTAGTCTCTCTCAATCTACTTTCTTTACCAACATATAAAATATCTAGAAGAAAAGTGATATGACAACTTTTTTTTTTGGCAAGAATCATATTTATCTTTTTTCTCATTTTCTTGATAATTTTTTTGTTTATATATTTCTTATTATTGTACAAAAATAAATATGTCAATTACTACTCCATCATTTATTCATATTCTTTAATAAAAAATTATCATTGCCTTTATTTTCCTTACTTTCATGACATTTGGGGTGTGTTTGGTATGAAGGAAAACAATTTCCGGAAAATGTTTTCCAATTTTCTCATGTTTGGTTGGGCTAAATGTTTTGGAAAAATGTTTTCCAAATCAACTCAATTTTTCCTCAAAATTTAAGGAAAATGACTTCCCTTCTAAACTTAAGGAAAACTTTTTCCACAACTCTCTTCCAACTTCAAATTACAATTTATTTTTTTTGTTGAAAAAATCAATTTATTTTGTCCCTAACCTCAAACCACCACCCCTCCCCCCCCAATAAATAAATAAATTTAAAGCTTGTTTTTAAATTCAATTTTTTTACCCCACCCCCTCCCG